TAACATCGACCAGACTACACAGCAAAACAACCCAGAAGACGGATATCTTCATACTCACCGCTGTGAGAACCTCAAGTCTTACATTATTTTTATATAACCTTCGTGGGAATTTTATTATTGACAGTAATTGAATATATAGTAGTAATGTTGGTAGTATTGGGAACAGCTGTAATGGTATTAGAAACGTGTTATTGGGTTACGTGTGCATCATTCCTAAGCCGATAACAGATTGTTCTTACATACGATATTATCGACATTATTTAATTTTAAGAATGAAAATATTTTTATAAAGTGTTATTTTGTTTATTATTTGTAACAGACATTTCTCCTCAGTACATGCCTTATTTTTAATGTGATTTGTCGTAAATATTGACGTATTTTTATGTGTTTGGATTTAAGTTACTGATTTAAATGTGATTTTACACTTTTATGACATATATTAGTTCAGCATTTAATTTGAAAGCAACAGTGATGAAATCATTGAGCGTGATTAATCTGATGCTATTTTGCAGTCAAGCAGTGTTGTACAGAAACATACACCCATATTTTTTTCGTTTATTGTCTCTGCGAATGAGAATGATATGTTTTAAAATAAAACATTTAATATGTGATTTCAGTTTATATTGGACCTAAAGGCCATATCGATGGAGTATATATATATAAAACGTTATCTTTTTTTTGAAGAAATTAGTCATAATTGTCCAGTTCCTTTCTCCTACAGAATCATTTGGTTCTTTAACCATAATCCAGGTTTACCAACTTATTTCTTTCATATTGGTTTACACTTAATGCAATATTTATCTAGGAAGGGTTACATACATTATATTTAGAAAATAACTACAAACATTAATATTAACAAAATTTGATTTCACAGTTTATAAATATGAGTCAATTTTATTTAATGGTAAATACAGTATATCCTTCACCTCATTTTGAAACACAGTGGTAGCTTATATGTACCGCCAATATAAATATTCAGGAATTTTTCCACAGAGTGTATTTGTAGATTTCGCGTGGTTATCAGAAATGTAGCATTATTTCCTTAAACAACATTAAATAATCTCTCTGATCGACGTGTAATGTTTTCCCTGGTGTAGCAACTGAAATTCAAGGTATTATTTAGATGAATTTAATGATTCAGAGGTTAATATGAATAAATTTTATACCATAATGAAAAGTGTCTTTTGTTATCAGTTTATTTATCTTAAACTGCCGACTCGAACTCTTAAACCCCCCCCCAAAAAAAAAATATTTTAAGTTTATGAAATATACCGTGTTAAAACGCGAGTGAAAATATGCTTGAATTAAAGGAGAATTTTCAGCGAATGAACGCATTTCTTATTTGATTCTGTTTATTAAGGAAACACGCCCTTGGAGCAAAAGAACGTTTAATTGATTTGATGCTATTTTGTCTAAACTTGTTTCCTTGCTTGTCCTACTTCACAAACATCATTTTTAAATGTTGAGTGAATTGATTTGGGTCTGCTAGTAAATTGTCGAGTACGTTTTGTGGACAGCGCAACCGTGAAAGGAACTTCAGCGTTACGGGTCGGCCGGACGTGACTCCGCACTCGTAAAAGAAACACCCTGTATAAAGCGTGTTGAGCGAAAGCCAGTACTGTACAACACTGCCCGCCCCGATGAGCATGCCTCTATGATTGTGGTGGAGGCGTGCATGTGTAGTTACCCCATGCGGCTGTGCGTCGTGACCCCGCGGGATGGAGCTGCAGTTTTGGCTGGCGACACTCACTGTTTGTTTCGGCGCATGGTCACCTTCCCCTGGGGGTCCGGGGGGTGGTCCATGGGCCGCTTCCAAACCAGCCTTCTTCTGCTCCGCGATCTTCTGGATGGCAAGGAAGCGATTTTTCCGCATTTGAATTCTCTTTGCCATGTACCCAACAGTAGCGTATTCTGTGGAGGAACGAAGGTTTTTAGAACGATCATGTAATTTTAAGATGATGGACACTGACTTAGTATGCTTGACGTCTTTTAATATAAGAAACAGAACTGGGTCGAACGACTGTGCGCTTGGAAACCCGGCTACAGAAGGCTTGCATGTTGACTATGGTTCACGCAATTTACGGACAGTGACATTTTATTATTGACAATCACTCAAGGTCATAGGCCTGCGTTCCCATTCTTCGTGCACGCACTGTGTTGTAATGTAGGCGCTAAAAGGGAAGTTTTAAATTCAAGGAAAATATTAATAATAATATCAAATCTAAAACTTCTTGACGATGGTGAAGAGTCAATTGAATAAAAATTTACTTGGATATTATCCATCGTCTAGTAAATATAAAACGTAAAAACGTAAAACGACGTTTCGGAGATGGGACTCTAT